GTAAGGCTGGGCCTGGCAATGCCACAGCAGGACGAGACGGACGCCCTGTCGGGACTGGCTGAGAGGTAGGTCCTCAGGAAGACAGGGGAGTGGCGGGAACCACTGCACAGGGTGGGAGGCCTCACTCCTCACTCGTCACTAGGCAGGAAGTTTCAGTCATGGGCTTCTAGTCACCACCCCCAGGTCCTAAAACAGTGATTCATAGATGCTGTGGGTGCAGGAGGGTCAGGTCTCATGGGCTAAAGAGCAAAGTGAAAATCAGAAAAAGGGAAAAAAGGACCTTTGGTGAGAAGCGAAATGGACGAGAATGGGGCAGCAGTTAGCTAAACGATAACACTGCGACACTGATAAATACCTGGTGGGAAACCTGTCCGGAACCCCGCTGCCTTTACAATACCTGCTCTGTGCATGAACACACCTGGGAGTTCTCCTGAGAGGTAGGAGGGGGTGCTGTGGAAAGCAAAAAACACCTATAATCCGACCATCACTTCACTATTTCCTTCATTCCTTCAACAAGCTTCCCGCTGGGTCTACCATGAGCCAGGCATGAGACACGTCACGTGTCCTCGGAAAGCACCCCTGAGTAGAAGAGGTCCGTATGAATGGTGCTCTCAACAAGGAAATGCAGTTAGAAAAATGTAGGCGTGCCAGCACCAGGACAGCCATTTTCCTCTTTGCTTCATGTGTCATACGAGGGGAAATCCACGAGAACAGCACCTGTGGTCTCGCTCCCCTCTCTCATGGGCTGGTCTCAGAAAAGGAGAAGACAGTGATTAATGTGCCAGGAACAAAGCCTAGTGGCTCGGACAGCTCTCCTTCCTGTTAGGTCCCGCCCATGTTCTCTCTGCTCTCTGTCTGTCAGTGTTCCAGTCAGGTCCTCCTGAGAGGGTAACTTCACTGATGGGCTATAATAATGGCAAGTCCACTTGATCATCGAATCCAAAGTTAGGAACAAATAACCCATGTGGCTCTGTCATAATGAGGACGTTTCTGTCTCCTTTGGTGACTCTCTGTGACTCAGTTCTGAATTCAAGCAGGGCCATCATTTCCAATGCTTCTCTTTGTTACAAGTGTCTAACATGTTTGCCCCTTTTCCCAGCCACTGTTGTTATTATTTATCCTTACAATAGTTTGGTGATGAACAGTTTGTGTTTTGGGTTTTGCTTTGTTGTTTTTTTCTCTTTTACAGGAAAAAAAAACAAACCTGTAGAATCTTAGCATCAAATGACTCATCAGAGGCCATTTGAGAAGCCAATCGGTGCACTTAGGATGGGCAATTCAGGTTTCCTAACACGATGCCATTTAGAATGCACAGCCTTCCATCTGAAATCTTGGGGGCGGGCAATGCTGAATAATGGAGATCATTTCTCTGCCACATAAGAGGGGCTATTCCATTAGATCTGGAATAGAAACACTGTGTACCATATTCATCCCCACTTACTTATCCAGCTCTGAAGATAAGCAAGGAGAAGCCCTGGGAACAAGAAGTAGGAATCCCCTTCTTTTGCTTTGGGGTACATATACCTCCTTCATGAAACAAGTCCTGGGGTCCTCTAAGGGCCGGGCACCAATCTAAGAATAGGCAAATCCAACACAGTCCCTGATGCAGCCACTGTTTTCTTCTCCCTGTTTAATACTGCATCCCACTGCTGTTAGGAAACATTGCCTCAATGGACTTAATGGTCTCTAAGGTCAATCCATGGAGAATGGACTACCCTGGGTTTCTATTTTACTCCTCCCCAGCAGTCCTAGTTCTCCAGCTATTTGGGGTAATTTGATACAATTGGTTTTAAGGCAATGGATGCCAATATAATCCCAATCTGAATGCAGACCATCATGTGTTCTATGGCTGGCAAGCACAACCCTAAGAAACCCAGCTGCCCCTCAGCGTAAGGCATGGGTCAGGCTAGGGAACAGAAACAGGAGGCTGTAATGCAATTCAGAGGAGAAAACAGAAGTCAGGGTAGCTCTAAAACAATAAACAAAAGGGCACCTCTTTTTCATCTTAGACTCAAGCCTACAGGTTCAGCAAAATGAAGGAGCTCCCTACTTGTTCTGAACACTTTTACAAGTTCAAGCTTACTTTAGAAAACAGATCACATATTGCAAAAACCTAATCTGATACTACTTAGAAAAGGCAAGATACAAAATGTGCAAAACAGTATAGTTTTGATTTTTGTTTTGTTTTGAATGAGGAATAGGAGGGGGTACAGATAACATTTACTGAGGATCCATGTTCCAGGCACCCTTCTATAAGCCCTTTCCTTTATTTCATCCTCACAACTTTCCCAGAAAGTACATAGTGATGTACCCTTTCTATTCCCGATGCAGAAATTAAAGCTCAGATGTTAAGTAACATGCGCTACATTTCCTGCTCCAGTTCCTCTGGGAAAATTCCTTATTCTCCAAATCGGTGTTTCTCAGTGAGCTTGGGGACACTGGTTGTACTTGGTATTGGGAACTTCATCCAGGATGACCATGCACTGGCCCATGAGCACAAAAATACCAACAGCAGTTCCCAGTAGCAGTCCCTACATATCCCAAGCATGCCTTTGGAGGACAGCTCACCCTCAGATAAGAACCACTGCTCTAAAAGATTCTTTGAGTATCAAGGCAAAAGACTGAAGAGAGAGGCACATCCTTTAAAAGCCACCCCCCGACACACATACACCTTCAGATCTCTCAAGTCTGCTATTTTATGGCATTTGGACTCCTAAGAAAGCCCCATGCACCCCTATGGAGTCAGTTACAAAAGCTCCATGAATTTATTCCCCATGCATTCCATGAGCATTTATTGAGCACCTATTATGGTCCAGGTACCATGCTATTGGCTGGGAATATAAAGTCAAAGAGTGCATGGTTCCAAACCCCAAGGGGTTGCAGTCTTAAAATCTCATGAGAGATGGATTAAGTATGGTGTCAGTGTAGACGTAAGCACAGGTGATAGCTAGGGACGCTTAGTGCAGAAGACACCTCCCACAGGTAGGGCAGAGTGCTGGGAAGAGAGGGCTGGGACAGGCTTCCAGGGGAAGTGCAGTCTTCCCCGAGCCTTGAGAGACTGAATGAGAGCAGCCAGGAAGTGTCTGGTCCAGGCAGAGAAAAGTGCCTTGCAAAAACCAGAGAGAGGAATTATATTTCCAGTCAAAAGTTTAAAGTACTTCCTTCATTCTTCAAGTGGAGACCTCAGGATGATTCAAACCTGGGTTCTCCTGTTGACCAGAAAGGCACTTTAGCCAAACATGTCAACTAGAAAATGAAATAAGCTTTCCGCAGTCCATGTGTCTTTCCTTCCAAAGCCCTTGTTTTGTGAGGTATAATAACCCATCAGACAAGAAATATGACTAATTCTATACTTCTCCAGTGAGCAGGAAATTGTTTTCAAGTACATCATGGACTGGCAACCAGTGGGCATGTCCCTCACTGGGGACACAGAAAAAATGGGGGAAGAGCTGATAATGTCATTTGAGGAGGTAGCAGGGGGTTCGTAAATCACCTTACCCTTGACCTCAAGTTCAGGGTGAACTTCATTTATTTATTTTTTAAAACCTGAAGTCTTATTTCACCATCAACTATAACAATCAGAAAGCGAGATTCTCACCCTATTATATTACATGTGCATGGGAAAAAAAATTTATTGTAGAAAAGTCTTTGGCTGTTTGTTTTTCCAAAACCATATATGTTATCTATAATTTTAAAAAAAACAAATACACAAATAAATATGTTAGATGTGGTTACACAGATTTCTAGAAGCTGAGGATCTCTGAACCTGAGAGAGCCCAAAGCGAACAGTTTCCTGAGTTTTCATGGGCAGTGAGCACAGGAACTGGGCTGTTGCTGCCTCAGGTTAAGTAATTATCAAGAGCAAGAGTCTGATGAGTTTAGTTGCTTTCACCTGGGGCGGGGAGGGGAAAGCAAGCAAGTCCTATATGGTTCTTGCTTGCCTCCAGCCTGTAAGGAACAGGCTCATTTCCCCTTGGCACGAAGCCTGAAGCAACTGGCAGACATGCCATCTTTTTCCTAGCCCCCACCCCTTCCCCTCTGACCTGAGTCACACTCAGGAACCATAATTCTGTAGGTGAACTAGCTTCCCTTTTAGTCCCATGATCATCGCATTTAGTCAGGCAGGCACAGTAGGACCTCTAATTTGACATCACCACCATGTCTGGCCCACCCATCCCCCCTTCTAGAAATGACCCTCAACAAGAAAGTCGGTGTTCGCAGGTAAGAGAATATGAAATGAAAACTCAGGATCCCTCAGACACCGCCTGTCCCTGCTTCCAAACAGGAAGTTCACAGAAGGCAGGATTGTTGAGCCCAAACTGCAAAGCCAAAGGGCAAAATTATACCAAGAAAGAGGAAGGTGGTCTTCCAAGAAAAGAATTTACCCAAACCGAATAGGTTTGTTGTCCTTCTTATCCCTGGCCGATGCCATTTCGTTTCTGTAAACTTTGCTAACCCCGGGAGGGCAGTATAAACAGAGAGAAGTGAAGGGACACCTTCGCCCTCTGGGTACATCTGCTGCCACCCCTGTCGGGTGCACACGACGAGGGGCCCTCGACCCAATCGCAGTCCACGCTTCCAGGATGACGCACCTGGCCAGGGTCCTCTCCCACGTGTGGGGGCAAAGCGAGCATCCCCAGCCAGGTGGCCACCTGGCCGGCCACGGCCGGAGGAGGCAGCGAAAGGGGCACGTCGCGGCTGAGACCTCCTGCCTGCTTCTTCGGCTTTCCCCCCGTTTCCAGCACGTCGTTTCACATTAGGGACACCCTTCACCTCCAACCCTAAAGTCTTGCGCACCTACGGTGTCTTTCCAAAGCAACTGAATAAAACGCCTACTGGCCTTCTGTGGCTCAGGTGAGTGCCAAGAGGTGTAGGAGAAAAGGGCCCGCTCGCCACCACCCCCTTTCCTCTCCTCCCCACGCTCCCCAAGATTCACCAGGAATATGTGTATTGGGGTGCGCGGGTGAAGAGGGAGCTTAAAACGCCCGAGCGTCCCTTACCTTCCACAGCCATTCTCTCAGAGCGTCCCTAACGCATGCATAATTTTCCTGGCCGAGGTACTCCTCCTGCCCCGCGCTCCCCCCCTCCGCGCGCTCTCGCCTAAATATTCTGCGCTCATCTGCTCCAGGACCAACCTGCCGCGGTCACGCAAAGCGAGGCTGCCGGCTCCCAGCTCCGCGCAAGGCTGCCTGGGAAGTGTAGTTTCCTCCCTTCGCTCCGACCCGGGAAAGCACACCGAGTCCCCCCCGCGGAGCGCTCCCACCCTCCACACTCGGATGGCAGCTCTGGCTTCAGCTGGCCCACGCAAGGCAATACCTCCTGCGAGGGTCCCGTGAGCTGACCTGGGGCACCCCGGGAGATGGCAGGGACTACATTTTCACAGATGCCCTGCGCTGGGTTTCGTTCCGCGCTTAGAGTACAGACCCGTGATTGCGATCTGCGCTTCAATTAGAAGGGGATAAGCACCTGGCAGGGGTCTTGTGGGAGGCGAGAGGCGGCGGGGCTTGTGGTGTGGTCTCCTGAGCTCGTTTACTGGCCTCCTTGGCTCTCCCTTTTAGTGAGGAGAGCGGAGCCACCAGCCGGCTGCGGTTGTCCTCCTGGGCCAGAGAACCAATGCACAGAGTGCTGCTGAAACTTGTTCCTTTGCTCCCTGGGATGTTGAGGGGTTTGGGTGAATCCCGTCAAGTGATTAAGCTGATCTCCACGAGGTTCAGGTGGCTCACGCTTAGCATAGGGGTGGGGGGTGGCTTAATCATCCGAAACAGGCATCATCCCTAAGAGGTTATTAGGAGCAAAATCTAGGGACCAGGATTTCACCTGAGGATGTCAGATGATGGGAGCCATTTGTGCTTCCAAGGTAGGAAGCTTTTACAACAGCTTGCCTGGCCTGGGACCTGTGGGGCCTAATAATTAACAACACCTGAGAATTAGTGTTCTTGCAAATTCTGAAACAGTCCTAACTCCAGAGGCTGGGACTGCTCTGAGCGCCCAGAAAAAAGAGCGTCTCGTAGAGGGCAATTCCAGAGCTGGTAAATACTGATAAAAGTGACATCCCCAAATGATTTCTCCCTCCCCCGCGTGGAAACAGTGATGCAGTTATGGCTGGAGGAGGTTAGAGAATGGCTTTGGGAACAAAACTGACCCGGGACTGCAGTAACACTTTTAAAGGCCTTGAGCTCCGAAATGCATATGGTACCACCTCCTCCCAGCCCCCCAGCATTTCTGCCCCCTCATATATATATAACAAACAAAACTCTGGAAAATAACTCTGAGGAAGTGCAAAGATCTGATTGTTTCCATTATTATGACTACTTAGCTTTTTCTGTCTTGGTCAAATTTTTATTTTTGTTTTATGAACAATTTTGTTTCTCAGTGTGTACATTCACACCTGCTTTTCTTATCACTAAGTACGTACTTTAGTCCTTCTGTTGGTCAATATGGCTGCGTCTGAGTCTTTTAAAAAGACCTGTGCGCATCCATTAAATGTCCTTGGTGATTACATTAACTCTCAGTCCATAGAGCTTTGTACCAATCAAATCCAAGGCTTCCAGACTTTGGTAAAGAGAGGCCTGTTCAGTGAGATACAGTTGCCATGAGAAAAATAATTTTCTGACCACATATGCAACCAAGCATTCCAAAATCTGGAAAGAACTGAAATCCAGGTGTTTCTCTCCCTTCTCAAGTGTATAAAATCACCAGCATTCATTTCCTTAGATTGAATGAATGGAAAATAAAGTCATGGCATGGCAGATCATATCAATAGTTCTCAACCTTGTCTGTGCGTCAGCCTATCACAAAAACATTCCTAAGTCCCATCTTAGCGTCACAAAATCAGGATTTCTGAGGGTTTGTGTAGAGACACTTACGTTTTCAAACCCCACAGGCAATTCTAATCTGTAGCGAGGGTGAAAAACATTAGTTCACTTTCATGCTTTTAAGGATCTGGGTGATAGTAAAATGTAAAAGTCACTGAAATTCATTTTTAATTTAAAACCTCATTTCAGCTGAAGTCTTTAAGATCTTTCCCAATTGATATGCATTCCATTTTGAGTTTCATTTTTGTGTAAATGTAAATAAGATGTGAAGGAAACATTAGTTTAACCATATGAAATAGCCAATATTTAACTTTCTTTAACCTATAAATGGAACAGTTTTATGTGCCTCAACCTAATGAAGGATAAGCGGCAGTTCAGCAGGGGTTTTCAAGTCTGGCTGAATATTAGAATCAGCTTTGAAAAAAATAATAACAGTTCCCAGTAGATTGGCCAAAAGAAAAAGAGAAAATGCCAACTCTTGGCAAGATTATGGAGCAATAAGAACTCATATATACTGCTGATGTTGTGCAAATGGATACAAACACTATGGAAAACCATTTGGCATTTTAAGCTGAATATACGCTTATCCTGGACCCAGAAATTCCATCCCTAGATGTATACCAAATGGATATGCATGTACATCTTCTCCAAAAGACATATACAGGAATGTTTATGGCTGCGTTATTTGAAAAGCTACAAATGAAACAACCCAAATGTTCATCAACCATAGACTCCAAAATGAATTGTGGTTTTAGCCAAACCATCCTCTATAGCAGAGTTCAGCAAACTATGGCCCATGGGCCAAATATGGCCCACTGCCTATCTTTGTATGGCTCATAAGCTAAGTATGGTTTTTACATTTTTAAAATGGTTGGGAAAACATCATAAAAAGAATAATATTTTGTGTGACATGAAAATTATAAAGAAGTGCCTACATAATATCCTGGATTGCTTTTTGGTGTGCAAAACCTAAAATATTCCTTATCTGGATTTTTACAGAAAAAAGGTTTTTCAATTACTTTACTTTACTGCTATAAAGTAATGAGAATGAATGAACTACAACTGCATACAACAACAAGGATGAAATGTGTGCATTAGTTATCTGCTGCTGGTAAGTAACAAATAGTCCCCCAATTTTATTTTTAAGATTTTGGGAAATTGGGGGAGGGGAACAGTGTTGGGGAATTGGGGAAAAGGAACAGACCAGTTGCTGTCCTTTTTCTTCAGTCTAGTTGTGGAGGACGTTGCTTCACTGGCCCATGTTGGTATTATCATTGCGCTCTTCCTGGGTGAGGCAGTCGCTCACTGGCCATTAGACAGCCACTCACAGCAGCTCTCTCTGGCTGCTGGCTGCTCATGCTTGCTGCTGCCCACTCACGGTACCTTATGACAGCCCACTGCAGCCTCCCTGCAGCCTACACCATCACCGGCTACTCACAGCAGCCCAGCTCCAGCTCCAGCTGTTGTGCACCATCTTAGCTGTAGAGGGCGCAGCGTCACTGGCCTTCATATGGGATCGGAACCGAGGCCCTACTGCTCAGAGCTGGTGTCCCAAGACAACTCTTAACCAACGCGCCACTTGGTTGGCCCCATAGCCCCAAAATTGAGTGACTTAAAATAACACCCATTTATTATCTGAAATTCTGCAGGATAGAAATTTGAGCACAGCTCAGATGGACCCTCTGCCTCAGGGTCTTTTACAGGCTGAAATCAAGGTGTTGGCTAGGCTGAAGTCATCGGAATGTTCACTGGGGAGGGATCAGCTTCCCATCTTGCAGGGTTGTTGGCAGATTTCAATTCCTCGCAGTCTGTTGGGTGGAGGATCTCAGTTACTTGCTGGCTGATGGCCAGAGGCCATCCTCAGTACTGTGTCACAGGGCCTCTTCAACATGGCAGTCTGCTTCAAGCATGCAAGCTAAGAAGGGAATAGAGTTTCTTATCAAGATGGGTGTCACAACCTTTTATAACCTTATCATGGAAATGCCATGCCCTCGGACGTTGCCATATTCTATTAGTCAGATTCAAGTTATTCAAGGGGCAAAGGATTAGACAAGGCCATGAATAACCAGAGATGGGGATCATTGGAGGTCATCTGAGAGGCTGCCTACCATAATACACAACTGGAATGCTGAACAAAAAAAGCCAGAGAGAAAGAAATACATATGGTGTGATTCCATTTATATAAAGTTCAAAAACCAGAAAAAAAATAATTTATAGCATTAGAAGTCAGGATAGTGGTTCCTCCTAGTATGGAGGGGGTGGTAAAAAGGGGGGGATAGTTAGTTACTGGAAGGAAGCCCCATGATGGCATCTGGGGTGCTGGGGGGGTATTCTGGTTCTTGAGCGGCATGTTGTTTACACACGTGTATAATCTTTGTGAAAATGTATTGAGTTGTATATGTGTGATTTGTGGAAGTTGTGTGTGTGTTATACTCCAATGAAAAGTTTTAAAATGGAATATATGCTTAGATTCAATTAAATGTGATGAATGACCCATTCATCAGCTACTCTTTGATTATTTATGCCTTCTTTTTCTTTGCTACAGCAAAGTGACAGTTCCCTTCCATTTCATTTAAAAAGTGTGTTTTGAGGACCTACTATGTGCCAGGTGCTTGCATAGATGCTTGTGATATATGGTAGGTTGAATATCTAGAAATGGCCCTTAAGAGTCCATATCATAATCCACTGGATCAATGAATGTGATGAGACATTCCTCCTGTGATTGAATTATAGGCACAGTTGACCTTAAAAATGGAAGATTATTCAGCTGAGCCTAATCTAGTCAAACAAGAAATAATTTTCTCCACCTGATAGCAAAAGAGGAGGGGGAGAAGAGGAATTCAGAGATTCTAGGCAGGATGACTCAACACATCAGTTACTCCTTTGAAGACAGATGGGGTCATGTGAGCTGGCATACAGGTGGCCTCCGGCAGACAGCCAGCAAGGAAAAAGGGACCTCAGTCCTATAGCGATAAGGAACTGGATTCTGCTATCAACAGCCTGGAAATAGACTCTTCCCCAGAGGCTTCAAATAAGAGTCCAACACACCTGACTCCTTGATTTGGGTCTTGTAAAACCTGAACAGAGAATGCAGGTGAGCCCACCCATCCCTCTAAGCTACAGAGCTGTGAGCTAATAAACCATTATTTTCTTAAGCTGCTAAATTTGCTTGGTGTGTGTGTGTGTGTGTGTGTGTGTGTGTGTGTGTGTGTGTGCGCGCGCGCGCGCGCCTGTGTGTTGATTTGTTTAGTTTGTCATGCAGCAATAGAAACAATTACAGGATGCATCCTGTACAAAGCAGACAGTTATCCTGGCCCTATTTT